CTTTTTCAGTTACCTGTGTTATTTCCCACTAGACAAACTACAGTCAAACATATCTGGTGATAAAATATCCAGTAAGGTAGATGCTTTATGTCAATGAAATATAAATAAGAATATGTGCAATGTCATATAAGGATTGCTATAGAGACACTCCCAATGAAAATATGATTCTTTGAGTGGTTTAAGTGCTTAGAAATTGTGAAAAAAATTTATAAAAGAAATCTGTCCCCATAAATAGCAGATAAAATCAAGTTCAATATTCCTTGACTAATCTCTTCCTTGAATAAATATGATAACCTATAAAATCAATGATCACTTTTCTACACAAATAGCTGCATGGGTTAGATAACGATGTGAAAATAAAATAATTGGGGGGCTTTTAACTAATATAGCCTAGCCATCATTTTTATTTCTGCCCTTAAACTAGTGAGGTAGAGAGAAAAATGTAAAATGTAATAGATGATTTATAATAATTTTTAGATGACAATATTTGACTTCAATTATTTTTAAATTTGTCTAGTCTTCTATTACTCAGTGATTTCTGATTGGTTATAAATGTTCAGGAATTAATTTACATGTCTTTTAGAAACACCTTATCAATTTTCTGGCCCAGATTTTATCTCTTAGACTATTATTTTTTTAACCCCTTCCCAGTGCTCTCTTCCTGGGACCCATTTCTCACTCCTATCCTCCAATCCACTCGTGTTAGTACTCACTGTATGCATGAGACTGAGAAAAGCGCTATAAACTATGAATGTGACTTTTCTATAAATAAAAATTAACTGTTCAAACAGTCTGCATTTTGGGTATAATAATGAGGTAATTAAAGTTTAAATGAACTGATTAGTTTCAGATCATAAAATCAAAGTATTAAGAACTGAAGTTCTGTTTGAATTATTGTTAAGTCAATGCCAGCCTTCGTTATAATGATCTTCTGACAGTATTCTGTCAAGTGGCTTCACTGGATGTGCATGTGTATAACGTATAAGGAACCAAGAGAAATACAAGAACAGAAATAAGATGGAAATAAGTGTTCATTATTAATACTGCAGCTAAGATTTGAGATCCAATAGAAGGTTATTTTTAAAAAGACTTTTGATTATTTAAATGGATTTTTAAATGCCAGATTATTATAAATGTTATCATAAGTATATTTTTGAGTATATGTGAGTTTATAAAGAAGATTTTGTTAAACAAACATCAGAAAATAACGACTTGTAGAAGTATTGTGAATCAATGGCAAACTAAGCACTATCTCAAGATCAAATTATGCATGCTTCGTGTGTATGTGTTTTACACATAATAAATTCAACAGCCTAATAACACTTCATAGAAAAACACATCATAATCCATCAGCCAGATGGAATATGATAACTAGCTCTATCTGTATCAAAATAACATTTATTTAAAACTTCAAAAACAGTATTATAACTAAATTCATCTTCTAACATTGGTATGATTCTCTACTTTTATGTAAGCAATTATTATTATTAAAGGTTTCAGACATAAAATTGTGTTGTTAGTATAATAAAACAATTAGATACACTAAGAGAAGATAAAAGGGAGGAACATCTATTATTTGGATTCCTATAATGTATATTAAATAGTTTTATTATGTATGGACTCTGTGAAACCATAGAGCAAAATTTAAGAAACATGAAGTACTAAAAATAAGTGAGAAAGACTTTCAAGACATAAAAGTTTACCGTATGAGCTTAATAAGAATTTATAGAAAATGATAATATTTCTCTGAATTCCAGTTAATTCTAATTTAGATGAGACTGTGGATTATACACAGTTTTATTCTAATAAAATCAATGTAACACATAGGAAGATGACACTAGCAAAGAAACAATGAAACTTTAGAACAGAAGAGTTACATGGAAAAAAAAGTCATATAGAGAGCAGAGACTGGGAAAGGCCATATGAAATAAAATAAAAAGAATAAAGAATAGTTACAGAAAGTGGAACAACAAAGACAGATATAAAATCCTCTATGCAGAAATCTTGTGAATTATGTAAAAATTCATTAGTTATATTTTTCTTTGAGAAGATGTTTTCATTAAGCCCTGACAGAGACATTGGTATGTTCATTTCAGCTTCTTAGGTAAACACCAATGAGTGAATCATGCTTTTAATACCTGCTTCTTCAGTGAGCAAAACATCATTATATTGATGTGGAGTTGGATGAACTCCTTAAAAGTAGAAGTTAAACATTTTTCCCATGGATCCTGAATAGTTCTTTGTGGACAATTTTTTAAAATGTACAAAAGAGATACTAAAATGTTTATGCCTGCTTGTGGTAGAATTTCATTGAAGTTTTCCCTATTCTTTTTTCTCCCTCTCTCAGTGATCCTTCCTTTTCTCTATCTCTGTTTTGCTTTCTTTTGGGTTGGGAGAGATCATAATTGTAAAACTGAGCAATTAAGATTTGTTTTCAGTCAGTGCCTGGGAAATAAATTAGCCTCTATTCTCACATAGGAATGTCAGTAAATGAGACCTTCAGTTATGGTGCAGGAAATTAAAGCAATGATGGCCAGAGCTCTAACAAACTCACCAGAGTCTGCTTATTATTGATTCTAAGAAAAGACAGATTTCTAGTATCCAGAAAATGACATCCAGCTCACAATTAATGACTAAAACACAAAGCAAACAAATTCAATCAGTTCAGTACCAGGAATGTTTGCAAATAAGTAAGGAGAAAAATAATCAACAATAAATAAAAACAAAAGCAATTCAGGAACTTCAAGGGGCAAAGTGGAATGGCTTAAGAACAATATTTGAAAAATAGGAAAGTCACAAATAATGATATCACTCAAATTAATTTCTTAGTGGGAGAATGCATTAATCAAAATATAAAATCCTATGATCCAGGGGTTTCTTCTGTTAATGGGTTTCTTTTTAGGTTGATGAAATTATTCTAAAATTAGTGGTAATGAGTAAACAGTACTGTGAATATTTTAAAAACAACTGAAGTATATACTTTAAAGGAGTGAATTTTATGGAAAGTAAATTGTATCAATAACAGGCTTTAAAAGAACTATGATCAATTTAACACCTCTCTTTAGAGGCAACTTCAGATAATTTTTTTTCTAATCCTACTCTGTTCCACAGCTGATACTGAGATCCACAGAATGAATTCAGATTTGACTACAGTGCACAGAGTCAGATTCAAAAATACTTATTAATAGCATTTAGATAAATGGTTTTATTAGAACCATCACAGTACTCAAGAAAGAAAAAAACTCAATAGAAATTAGATGGCCTCCTTTTAATTGTACTGTTGGTGCCTATGCACCACGATATGCTGTTTTCACTGTGCTCCCAATAATTCTGGCATCCTCGTCTTGTCACTCCTTTTATGAGTCCTAATTTCTGGGACGCAAACTGCTTTATTGCCAGAATGTTCATGCTGCTGACTGCTGGTGGAAAGTCATGAAATTTGGCTTATTAACTTCTGTACAAATTGATGTTATCTAACCTCATCTGAGCCTTCACCACAGCTTGGAAATCTTTTTATTAATGTTTAATTGGTACTTTAACAATTTTCCATAGTGCTCATTTCAAAGTTTTTCAAATCTTCTGTCCTCTCCATGTGACCTGACCTGTTCATTCAACAGAACCAGCATCTTATACTTGATGAAAACCATCCTCTGCTTAGAAAGTTACCTTACTCATTCCTTCCTTCACTCACCTCCAAAGAGAAAGATCATTTTACTATTAAAAAATCCTACTTCAATTGAAATAAACCTATCTTGGTTTATCATATGTCTGCTACTCTCTAGCTCTATAACCACATGCAAGGCAATGAATTAAAATGGTTGACTTTCTCATCTGTAAAATTAATACTATGGACCCGGTGAATTCTAAAGCCACTTTAACACTAAATCAAGGTCTTCCTAATCTTGTGTTTAGTCTTAGGCTCTTTCACACCCCAAGGAACTTTTTCCTCTATTCAGCTTATATACAATGAATACAAATGAGGTGGAAGGTATTTTTCCCTCCATTACTTTCCCATAAACTCTATACATGATTAAGATTTCATCTTTTATAAACTCCATTTTTTTCAGTGCTGGGAATCAACACAGGTCTGTTAAATTGCTTCAAGGATACATAGTACTTGAAGACTCTTCTTTCTTGCTACTAACTTATCTTTTTACACCTTCCAATTTGGTTTCTGCCTACAACACTTTCTCCAAGTAACTGTTGCAAAGGTCAAATGATTTTTCTGTAGTGCTTATCCTACTTGAATTAACTGTGACATAAATCACTACTGGTTTTGAAAAGCCAACTAAAACTTTCTCTCACTTTTCTAGACCTCAATCCCATGGTTCTCTTCTCTTTCTCCACTTTTATTTTCCCTTCTCAGTCAATATCCTAAATGTGGGCATTCATCACAGATTTATCTTGATGTTCTTTCTATTTCTCTAATCAAAGTTTCATTCATTTTCAGGATCTCAACTATTACAAAAGTATTTTCACTAGAATTACTTTTCAGTATTCTGTATATCTGTATATGTAAGTCTCATCAATTTTATGTTATATTAAGAATAAAATTTATCACTGTATTCCAGAAAAAAAAATGGGAAAAAAAGAGGAAAAACACAACCTTTTCTCCTTCCTATAGTCTACCTATTAAAGCTTTTCAGTGTCTAGGACTGACATTATAGGAAAGAGAGAAGCCATAAATGTGAAGAAATACATTGTTCTCATAACACACTGTTTTTCAGATAGCTAGCTCCTCATGTGCTCAGAAAAATAATAAAATTATAATCTTTATTATTCAGTTATCATCTAGAGAAATTGTACTGTTTAAGATAGCATCATGGTTATACTCAATAATGTTTTTCTTTTTGACTCTTAACATTAACCACATATTGGATTATACACACTTGCTTCTCCAGTTCCTTAATTTAGTGCTGTGAGGCAATGTTAGAGAATCCAAAGCTTTAACTACAACTGTATTCTAAAAGAGAGGAAGAAAAAGAAAGTAATCAACTCACACTTTATCTGTTCCGTAACTCCTGTAGTCCACTGCAGCTGACACAGCCACAATGAGTGCAGGCATCCCATAGCCGACCAGATAAAAGTACTTCCTACGTGAATGTTCACTCTCAAAAACCTCCACCAGCATGATATAGAGCTGGACTCCCTCCAGAAACATCCACGTGAAGGCAGCCAAGAAGAAGAAATGTAAGAGAGCAGCAAAAACAGCACAGGCAATCTGGGAAAGGAGCAAAAAATTCAATTGCATAACTACCATGCAGGATATTCATCAACTGCCATAAAAGCTAGCAATAATAAAATAGGTCTGCCAAAGAATCATCTAGACAAGATTCATAACACAAAAGTACTAAAAACTAATAAAATATAACCTTGTTTTGAAAACTGTCTTTAACCTTAATAATGGTTTATGGATAATAGCATAGTTTTAAAATAAGAAAAAATCATCACAGTTAGGGAAAAATTCTAATAAGAGCCTATGGATAATTACTGCTAAACTTAGTCTAAAGATTTTAAAATAGATTTCAGGAATTTTTTTTCTCCTGGCCATAATCATATGTATAGTAATAAATACAGATATGTAAATATATAAATAACTATCTGAATGTATCTATATAGATGTAGACATATTTTGTGGTGCTAAGATAGAACTCAGGGCATTGAACATACTAGGCAAGTGTTCTGCTACTGATCTACATCCTCATATTCTAGGTTCTTTAATTACAACTGAAATAGAAGTATTAAAACCAAGGGAAATAAAATTTCTTAAAACTAAATAATATCACTAATCAATGTCTTTTATGACAAGATAATTACTTTTAATTATTAATTATTAGTAATTTCCTGCCTTGTTTCAGATAGGATTTAATATGACATGAGAAAATTAATGCTGCTCTCAAGTAAAAATGGGCCTGGTTAAAATAAAATGCTCCAGAAATGTCTTCTTTCTCAGATTTTTTTGTTTGTTTGTTATTGTCTAGATAAGCCTGGTCAAAAAAGGATATATATATATATATATATATATATATATATATATATATATATATATTTCCCCCCCTCAAGCAAAGTAAAATAAATTTCAGAGAACCATTTAGTTTTACCATTCTTATGTTAGTTTCTGAAATTCTCACTTCTTTGTGTCCTTCTTCTTTAAAATTAATTTATTTTTATTATTATTTTATTAGTATATAGTAGTTGCATAAGGAGATACATTGTAATATTTGCATATGTGCTTGCAATATATCTTAGTTAGGTTTAACCCCTCCATCATCCATCATTCTCCCTCTTCTCCCTTGCCCCTTCTTAGAACAATTTCAACAAGTTTCATTCTTGTTTTTCTATATATGGATGCAAAACACATCCACCATATTCACCCTTTCCTTGTGCCTATACACCTCCTATTGGTACTCACCCCCCACAAAAAGGCTTCTTCTTAAAAAGTACTGACTTTGCTACTGCCCTACTCGCAAAGGTCAACAAACTTAGAGAAATAATAAGATACAGTGAATCCATTGAGGAGTGTCATCCACTAGAAGTGAGACAAAAGATAGGTCAGTTTTCCTGGGTTAGAGAGATGGCAATGAAGGAGACATGAGGAAGTCAAATATCTAAGGAATGAGAGAAAAGCAAACACTTTGTGTTGTGGGAAGCAGAAGAGGACACCTAACCAGAGTAAGAGAAAAGCCAGTTTTAAGGAGCTGAACTCTCCAATGTTTTTCATGTCAATCACTGTACTTTTGATACTTGTGAGAAATTAGTTTTGTGCAGTATGCAACATTGGGTAAAGTTTGTTATACCATATGTAACATTAGGAAATGAAAATAAAAATGAGATTTCTAAATGAAAGGAAATCATACAGTATTTGAATCCTAGGTTAATGAAAGAATAAAATGATACCTTCTTTGAAAACAACTCAGTTTTTCATTTATTGCTTTTTAAAGTTAGAACTTCAAATATATTTTTTGTTATCATAGGGCTTTACTTTTGGGGAGAAATGTGCATTTTTGATTACTTATTCATGTATATGCATTTATAAGAAAAGCTGTTACATAAGTATCTGATAACCAATTAAAAATATGTTCACCATAATTGTATCCTTTACAGTCATTAATCATGAATACATAATCACAGACATGAATCCAACTGCATTTATATATAAAGTGCCCTATGCATATGGATACAGAGTACTAAATGAATGATTTATTTATTATGCTCATGAGTCTTTTAAAAAGTTTAAAAATTAAAAGGTTTCCTTTCCTTTGCAGTTCTAATCATGAGATAAATTTGTACCATATATGAGTCTTAAGTAAAATGAAAGGGCTCACAAAAATTACCAGGTGTAAAATTAATTGTGGCATATCAGACAATCAGTATTATTCAGTGGTAAAAAGAAATGAACTATCAAGATACAAAAAGACTTGAAGGAAATGTGTGTGTGTGTATGTGAAAAGTCAATTTGAAAATGCTACTTATTATGTAATCCTAGCTATATGACATTTTGGAAAACTCAAAGCTATAGACCCTAAAAAATAAAATCAGTGGTTGCCATGGCTTAGAAGGGAAGGAGGAAAGAGAGGGAAGAATAAGAGGTGCACAGAGAATTTTCAGGGCAGTGACAACACTCTCTGTATGATACTCCAAGGCTGGATTATGCTGTTACACATTTGTGCAAACCCAGAAAAAGCACATCATTTAGAGTGTATCCTAGAGTAAATTATGAACTACAGATTTTTAGAAATAATGATGTGTCAGTCTAGATTTGTCAACTATCACAAATGTTATCACTCAGGTGGGGGATATTCATAGTGGAGGAGGCTATGTGGGGCAGAGGTTATTTGCAAAATCTCTCTTCTTTCTGAAAAAACCAAAAACTGTTGCAATAAATACAGAAACAAAAAGAAATGTGCATTTTATTCATAACATTCATTACTTCTCTATCACAATAGGTCATGAAAATGGAGAAGTGAGTAAGATCTGAAAATTACTATCAGCTGAAAGAAAGGTTACTTTTTTTCCTCCAAAACTGGAGAACTGGACAGCTGAATTTGGAGAAACTCTTTAGTAATGTCAGTGACAGTGACTTACTGGTTGGTCAGTCCGATTGATTCCAATCAGGAACAGCAGCTCTGCTACAAAGAGGCTGATGCAGAGGTTTTTATGGATGGTGTTACGGTCACTCTGGAGCCCGCGGAAAAAGCAAAATGTGAAGATGCAAATCAGGAGACAAACAAGGGACAGCAAAATTCCAACCCATGTGATCACATCCAGAAGGAGGTCATGGACCGCATCACCATGCTGGAAACACAACAGAAAGACTGTAAGTTGCAATCACATATAAACAATCGTAAAGTTTTATAATGACCTGGATTCAGGAAGCACTATTTTAACAATGTGCCAAATGTCTCCATTCCCACATGAATAAAATAACTTTTTATTTAAATTTTCTGTTCCATAGATAAAGCATTTTCTCTTTTCTCTGAGGTGTGAATCTGTTGGATATTCAGGATGTCAACAGCATTTGCTGCTTTCTCAGCACATACATTTTCAAGATATAAATAACTGAAGCAGATCAACTTAATTCTGGCCAAACATTTCAAGGAAAAGACTGATTTTTTTTAACCTACATTGCTTTTTCAGACTTATTTTTATCGACTTGTGCTGGGGAATACTGTACTCCAAAAATTAACTTATATACTAAGGGAAGTGTTGTCTCAACTGATTTTTTGACTTAGAGATATTTTGTATATAAAGATACAATTCCTGTGCCTTATAAATCTTTTATCAGAGTTTGGAAATTGAGTTCATAAAAGTATGCATTTTTATAAAATCCCCAGTTATTAAGTGAAAGAGCAAAAAGAATGAGGATATTCACTGGATTTATAGTCATATTGAATGGCTTAAGGAGATAAGGAAGTCTGATCCTTAAAGGGGTTTAAATGAATGGAGCCTGTTGTATATAAGTGGAAAATAAGTATTCAGAATCACTATACTCAACAGTAGTGTAAAAGAGATAGTCTCACTAAGAAACAAGAAAAAGCTCATGTCTCTACTTCATGAAACTGCCTTCGGGGATCAGTTAAAATAGTCCTATGAGCTCCCCATTTGCCATGTTCTAAGATTCAAAACTCTATGTCCATCCCATGGTGATTTATATACACCCAAAAATGATTTCTTTGAAGCTTTAGAACTCATACTGGCCAATCACATAATTGTGCCAGGATGGAGAAGTAGAGTTGAGAAACTGTCTGGGTCTGTCAATTCCTCTTCTTCTTTTTTGAAGGTCTTAAGTACCTAACTTCTATCAGTATAAGAATGGATAAATAAATAAGGTTAATTTAACTAATTCTAAATAGTTATAGAGCCAGGCTTGTTGGTGCATGCCACTCGAGGGGGCAGCCAGGAGAGTCGTGAGTTTGAGGCAAACCCAGGTAAAGTTAGCAAGAACCACCTCAAAAACAAAATAAAAATATGAGATCTGGGTGGCATAGCTTAGGTAGTAGGGTGCTTGCTTAGCAAGCAGAAGACCACAGGTTCAATCCATGGTATTGAAATAATAATAATGATAATATAATAATAATGAGTAGTAGAAAAAGTCATTTACTAGATTTACAGTTGCAAACATGAATAATTCTTTGAAATCTAATACAAATTTTTTTTAAAAAAAAGAGCAACCAGCAAAAGGATCTATATGGTATATCCCCCTTTATGGAAAAATTTAGAAGATGTAGATTTGGAAATGTCACAGGGAAACTCCCTGTGTAGCTATCTTAAACAAACAAAAATGCCTTTTTTTTTCCTTTTACAAAATCAGAGAACAGGAGGGCAGAACAGGTCCTGTCGGTGGGCAGGGGGAGAGGAGGAATTGGGGAAGGAGACTGGGAGGGTGAATATAGTACAAATACTGTGTACACATGTATATAAATGGAAAAATGATACCTGTTGAAACTATCCTGGAAGTTGGGGGAGGAAGAGATAAAGGAGAATGGTGGAGAGGGTGAATTCAAGTATGATATATTGTAAGAACTTTTGTAAATGTCACAATTACCTCACTCAGCACATTATATATATATATATATATATTAATGACATTGAGTATATGGATATGAGCAAAGTTAAAGCATAAAAATGTGCATGGAACAGTTTTGAGTGGCTAAAAATCTACTGTATAGATCATACACGTTTTTTGTTTCAAGATGGAAGTAATCACATTATCTTCTACATTAAGTCAGCCCATCTTAAAAACATGTAAGTATCCAAGTTTTCTATTTTTTCCTTCAAGCTTCATACTATAAAAGAAAATTCTTAATATGGAAATTCTTAGAAGTGAACCACCATGCCATAATCTGAATCATAACAGTTCTCATACTGCCAGATATGACTTCAGAGTTACTATTTCATGAAGAGCTCCCCTAGACCAGTCAGTGAAACAGTCTTGAGATATCGTTGTATAACTCGATTATGATTCTCAGAAGGAGTGCAAATCATGAAAAAAAGACTATGTGAAATTTTGTTTTAACTTCTCTTCTCCAGAGGACACTACTAAAGTAGTGTTGGGACTCTGATAGGTTTATTATTTTTATGATTTTACAGTGGAGACTGCTTAGTGTTGCCTAGTTCCCTGAACAGAGAGCTGCTTGCTCTTATCTTTGATGCAAAGGGAAGATGCTGTCTTTGAGTATCAAGCATCAATGTTTAGCACAGCAGTCTTCCAGAATGGAAAATGGAAGGTATAATACCTTCTCAGATGTATCTGAAAGACCTAAAGCAGTAAAAATAAAGAGACAGAGAGGGAGGAAGAAAAGAAAAAGAAGGAGGAGGAAGAGGAAGAGGAGGAAGAGCTAGGTAGTTGCAACATTAGAAATGTTCTTGGTGCCTTCCTTCAGAAATCTCATGCAGAGTTATTAGAGAAGAATATCAGATTTTAAAATGCCAGTAGTAAAAATACATCCTACTTGAACACTGAACAAGAAAGCTTTTATGACTGTTCAGCTTGGAAAATATCAGCACCAACCATCTGTATGTACACAGTGCTGGGATAGAAGCACTCATCTAATGACAACTTAAATGTTTTCATTAAGGTGAAAGGAAAAAGAGCAATGGACATTAAATGCTAATAAGAAATGTAAGTTTAAAGAGCCTTGTTTGTAACAGTTGCCATAGTAGAATTTCCAGGAGCCCAGTGCTTAAAAAAAATCAAAGTCCCTTCAATTAAGTAAAACTCCTAGGAATAGTTATAACAATGTGATAAAGGAACAAGCATTTATACATCAGAAGTTTTGTGTTTGTGATCATGACATAACTCCATTGTCTAACATTTAGTTTGCAAATGAGGATCAAATACATCTCACTAATATCAGATCTCAGCTATTAGTATGTACATGACACATAAAAATGTTTTTAAACATTGGTTTGGGATGACCGTATTCCTATTCTTCTTAGACTATATGTTCTAGAGCTGAACTTTTATGTTAGTATAGGTTTGGCCTTCATGCAGTCCCTCTCTGATATTTTTCTATTTGTAAAAATAATTTTAATAATTAAATTTATAATTTAAATTATGACAACTTAAAAATAAATAAATACATAAATAAATAAAAAGGTATAAAATATTATACGTCCCAAACTTAAGTTTATCCTGTATTGTCCTCTTCCTCAACTCTCAAATCTGCTCTTTCTTTAGTTTTCCCCATTTTCTATTCTTTGAAGTATTCTGGCCAAAAACTTATGAATCATATTGATTCTACTTCTTCTTCTTCATATTGATTCTCTACTTCTTCCATATAACCTAGTTAATCCATCAGGAAATCTTGTAGGTCTTACTTTGTAAAACTGAGAGTATCTTATCACCTCAACTGTCTATATACATGCATATCTATATATTAACAAATATATAAATATATAAACATATATCTCTATATAAACATACATCTCTATATAAATATCTAGGCAGGAATGATGGCACGTGCCTATTATCCCAGCTACTTGGGAGGGAAAGAGGAGGGCTGCTGTTCAAGGCTACCCAGACAAAGTTAGTGCAAGACCCTACCTGAAAAATTAACTAAGAACTAAAAAGATTTTGGGGGTGTACTCAAGTAGCAGAGCATCTGCCTAGGAACCAGAGGCCCTGAATTCAATCTCTAATACTGCAAAAGTAAAATAAAATACGCATCAAGCCAGGAATGGTGGAACACACCTATAATTCCAGAACTAGGGAGATAGATAGAGACAGGAGACTCACAAGTTTGAGGACAGTCTAAGCTACATAGAAATACCTTATCCATGTCAAAAAATATATATATACAAATATATGTAACATATATACATATACATATATATATATATATATATACACAGATATCTCCAACATCCCTCCTGTGCTCTAAGCCTACAGTGTCTTCCATCAAAATGAAAATAAAAACCAAAGCCCTTACAAAGGCCCACATAGTGATATGTGATCTAAACCCTGTGACGTAGCTTCTTACTGTCCTTCTCATTCAATTCCTTCCACTCTTTTAGCCAGCACAGTCATGTGAACAGCATCGACACAATTACTTCTATATATTCTTTCTTAACTTAGGTCAAAAAAGATAAATCAGGTAGCAAAAAAAAAATTACATTTATAACTTCTTTATAAGACTCATACCATAAACTAGTATAATTCATTGCAAAGAATGTCTGGAAAACTTATAAAACCCACCATTTCAAAAAATCAAAAGCTTTAAGAAAGTATCTTCCTAATAAAAGATATGAAAGATGTGAGAGAAAAATCTCAGAGGAGAATGATGAAATGATTTCTCAGGGATTACAATGGTTCTTTCCTCTCTAGAAAGAAATTTTTATAAAAACAATATTTGTTTTTCAACCTTCTATTCATATTTAAAATGAAAAATATTTTGTAAGACCTACAGAAAGTTTCTGGTTTTCATTTTATTGCATGATTTAAAAACAACTCAGAATATAATAAGACTGTGAAAATCTTTATCTTGATAGTCAAAAAGCAAATTAGCTGACATGATAAAGAGATTGTGAAATATTTTTTATTTTAATTGCATAAGTATAAACTTTGCCCCTCATTTTTTTCTTTTAAAAAATTTTTAGAAACTTGTATTTTCCAGGTACTGCTTGATTAATCACTTCATAATTATTATTAACGGAAGAATAGCAATTATCAAGAACTTGTTTTACTGTCTGCACAATGCATTATTTTAATGTTAAGCCACATTTGCCGAAGCACAATAGTCTTTTAAATATTTCTTCTGACATATTTGTAATTTTTAGCTAACATGAGGTTTTTT